ACCTGCACTGGCATGGCTCCGTGGGTTGAGCATTGTCCTATGACCCAAAAGGCTGCCAATTCGACTCCAGGTCAGGGCACATGCCTGGGTTGTGGGCTAGGTCCCCAGTTGGGGACATGTGAGAGGCAACCAGTCAATAATCCTTTCCCTTTTTCTTCCTCCCTTCCCCTCTATAAACTACCACAAACACGTGCCATTCCTAGACCATCAGGGGAGAAAACATGATGTTTCTCTCCCTCTCTCCTTCCCTTCCCCTCTAAAGATAAATAAATAAAATCTTTAAAAAAAAATAAATAAATAAAATCTTAGAAAGAATAAAATTAAAATTAATTTCACTTGTTTATTCTTTGGTAAAGTGGTTCTAGAAATCTTAAAATTACATAGGTAGTTCAAATTATGTTTGAACTGGGCAGTGCCGGCCAAAGCCATATTAGTTTGGCTCAGTGGGAATTATAACATATTTGAGTTTTGATGAGATTCCTTTAGAACTAGACTCCTTCCTCTGGCTCTGAGCAAGGGTTCTAGAGAGTCAGCCTTGCTCTACCACTCAGTAATGAGCTTGAGCAAGTTTATTTAAACTATCAATATCATCATTCTTATTTATAAATGGGATGATAATATTTATGTGTATGAGTATAAATACAATAACCACTGCAAACTTAAAGCCCTTTGCTCCACACTTAACACACACAAGTGCCTCAGAATTTTAAACAGCTTTGTTGAGGCGTTATTTATAAACTTTTTAAAAGTATATTTTATTGATTATGCTATTACATTTGTCCATTTTTTCTCCCCCTTAATTTCCATCCATCTTGCATCTCCCTTCCTCCAGCATCCCCCCCTCCCACCTTGCCTTAGTTCATATCCATGGGTTGTGCATATGTTCTCTGGCTTCTTCATTTCCCATACTATTCTTAACCTTCCCCTATTTTGCACCTACCATTTATGCTTCTTATTCTCTGTGCCTTTCCTCCCATTGATAATCCCTGCTGCTAACTCTCCATGTGATCTCTATTTCTGTGATTCTGTTCCTGTTCTAGTTGATTGTTTTTTGGGTTTGGTTGTTAATAGCTGTGAGTTTGTTGTCATTTTACTGTTCATCGTTTTGATCTTCTTTTTCCTAGATAAGTCCCTATAACATTTCATATAATAAGAGCTTGGTGGTGATTAATTCTTTTATCTAGGGAGCACTTTATCTGCCCTTCCATTCTAAATGAAAGCTTTGCTGGATAGAGCAATCTTGGTTGTAGGTCTTTGGTTTTCATGACTTGGAATACTTCTTTCCAGCCCCTTCTTGCCTGTAAGCTGTCTTTTGAGAAATCAGCTGACAGTCTGATGGGAACTCCTTTGTAGGTGACAGTCCCCTTATCTCTTGCTGCTTCTAGAATTCTCTCCTCCATTTTAATCTTGGCTAACATAATTATGATGTGCCTTGGTATGTTCCTTCTTGGGTCCAACTTCTTTGGGACTCTCTGAGCTTCCTGGATTTCCTGGAAGTCTATTTCCTTTGCCAGATTGGGGAAATTCTCCTTTATTATTTGTTCAAACAAGTTTTCCACTCGTGGCTGTTCCTCTTCCCCTTCTGGTACCCCTATAATTCAGATGTTGGAACGTTTAAAGATGTCCTTGAGGTTCCTAAGCCTCTCCTCATTTTTTTGAATTCTTGTTTCTTCGTTCTTTTCTGTTTGGTCATTTTTTTCCTCTTTCTGGTCCACTCCTTTGATTTGAGTCCCAGTTTCTTTTCCATTACTATTGGTTTCCTGTGCATTTCCATTCATTTCAATTAGTTTAGCCTTCATATACTCCTCTAATTTGTGACTATAATCAACCAGTTCTGTAAGCATCCTAATCACCAGTGTTTTGAACTGTGCATCTGAAAGGTTGGCTATTTCTTCATCGCTTAGATTTATGGGCTCTGGGGCTCTGAGTTGTTCTTGAACCATGTTTGGATCTGTTCCTGCCTGTTACAAACGAGGAGAGGCGCCTTGGTGTTTACGGGGTGGGGCCACCCAGGTCGCAGGTCTGTGATGCTGTATGTGGGGGCGGGGTCAGAGAGCGAGCAATGGCGGTCCTCTCCACTCACCTAGTCCGCCTCACCATTCGCCACCTGCCGATCCGAGCACAAATGTGAGTCTGCTGCCCTGTGCCAGTCGCTGGGGCCTGTGAGATGTCTCAACGCTCACCTATTCACTGGTTTATCTGCATGCAAATGAGCGACCGACTGCAGACAGCCAGCAGCGCCTCTTCCCTGGGTTCCGCCCATGGCTAGGCCACACCTGGGATCCCCGCCTCCGGCTGCCTGCGCACCGCCCGGATCTTTTTTGCCTGACTGGCTCCGCTGCTGGTTTCACCCCTCTCACCGGTTTAGCTGAGTGTTTCCAGACTCCGTTTTCGATTTTCTGTGTGGTTTGGTTGTTTATTGTTGTTAAAACTTTGTTATTTTTAGATTTGGTTGTGCGAGGACGAAAAGTGTTCCCACCTACACCTCCATCTTGGTGGAAGTCTTTGAATACTTCTTTGCAGCCCTTTCTTGCCTGCAAGGTTTCTTTGGAGAAATCAGCTGATGATCTTACGGGAACTCCTTTGTAGGTAACTGTCTCCTTTTCTCTTGCTGCTTTTAAGATTCTCTCCTTATTTTTAATCCTGGGTAATTTAATTATAATGTGTCTTGGTGTGTTCCTCCTTGGATCCAATTTCTTTGGGACTCTATGAGCTTCCTGGACTTGCATGTCTATTTCCTTTGCCGGATTGGGGAGGTTCTCCTTCATTATTTTTTCAAGTTTTCATTTGCTTGCTCTTGTTCTTCTTCTGGTACTCCTGTGACTTGGATGTTAGAATGTTTAAAGTTATGCCAGAGGTTCCTAAGCCTCTCCTCACTTTTTTGAATTGTTTCTTCTGTTCTGGTTGGATGTTTATTTCTTCCTTCTGCTCCAAATCACTGATTTGAATTCCAGTTTTTGTCCCTTCATTGTTAGTTGCCTGTATATTTTTATTTCAATTTGTATAGCCTTCACTTCTTTATTTTGCATCCATACTCAGTAATTTCTGTGAGCATCCTGATTACCAGTGTTTTGAACTCTGCATCTGATAGGTTGGCTATCTCCTTATTGCTTAGTTTTTTCTGGAGTTTTGATCTGTTCTTTCATTTGAGCCATGTTTCTTTGTCTCGGTACACCTGTTACATTGTAAGGAATGGAGCCTCAGGTGTTCATCAGGGCGGAACAACCTATTTTACTGAGTGCTTCCTACTGCTAGATGCTTTGCATGAGTCTTGAATTTGTCAGGGTCCCAGTTTGACCATCTTAGGAAAGCCACCTCACCTTTCTACTCCCCATTTCCTCACCTGCACCCTGGGATGGTTGTTCATGAAATGATGTTTATGGTAACTTCCAGTTTTGACATTGTTCTGCCAGAAATTTTTTAAAATGTAGCTACTATATTTGTAATATCCAAAAGATCTGTCTTCCAATGGTGTTTCTTTTTAGTCTCTTGTTTTTATTTCATGGATATATTTCTTCTTTCATCTCTGAATATACGTAATTTTCATTTGTTTTTAAATTTTTTCTACTGCCTGTACTTTACTGTTTCCTTGTGTTCCTTTTAACATTTGATTCTCGTTTGGGACTTTCTCTTTATATTCCATGTCCGATATTCATGAATGAGCCAGTAAATGTTGATTGGAACCTGTGTGTGGCGGGAGGGGGTGACTTGTTGACTGAAGAGATGAAAGATGATGGAACTTATTCTGTTGAGGCACCTCAATTGCAGTATCTGCAGGTCTTCGAGCTCATGGCTGCATTCCCTCCACTTCCTGGTTTCATGGGTATGAGCCGGTCAATCTGAGTTCTGAGGGCCGACGGGGGACTCTCCCTGCTGGGTCTTGCCATGTTAGTGTGGTGCTTTCCTGCCTGCTAAAGGTCAGTTGAATTAATTTGCTCTTTTGGGTGTTATTTTTGGGGTCATTGAATATTCTAATATTCTCAATATACATTGCTGTTGTATTAAAATTTAAATATACAAAAACTGTAAACTGAAAAAAAATATTCAGCTCTCCAAGCTAAAAAGTTCCTGTAGTACTGGTCATGAAGGGATCCTTGAACATGGCATCCACTGGCCATCAGCCACAGGTCATTTAACCCAAGGACAGGTGGCAAATAAAAGAACAGAATCTTCAAATTCTGTTTTCCTTAGGAATATATTTTTCTTGCTATATTTGACTATGTTCTCATCAGATGTTTTCTTAACCTTTTATCAAAACTGATAATCATATCATGCACAGCTGCCTTAGCTTAGGCATGTTGCTTCTTTCTCCTTCTTTTCTAAATTAAGGAACACATCACATTTAATTGCTGTAAGAGTCAACCTAAGTAGAACTCTCTTCTTGCTGTACACACACAGTTGGTTTTCATCTTTAACATAACAGGTATCAGCCTTTCAAAAGGCCTCCCACACTGCTTTGCAGGAACATATGAAGTGTCTTTTAACATCAACATGAACTTGAATGCAACTGTGGCTGTAGATGGTGATTTCTCAAAATACATTAGTACTGACTCTACCTGTATTTGAATCACCAAAAAGACATCTGAATCTGGAAGAAGACTGCCAGACACAAACTCTGAAATTACTACTGGTATTATTACTAGGAAGGAAACGTACATTTTACTTGATGAGTAGGTCTCTCTCTCAACTCCAATTCTGTAAAAAAAGTTAGGCCTGGGTTTATACAATCCTCTACTGTTCTTTTAAGAACAAAGGTAAGTCGTTATCTTGTTGAAACTTTCCAGTCCTGAGGGATTCATTCTTTCTTACTTAATGTCACATATTTGTAAGTTGCTTACATGAGGTCAGAGTACCCCTATCGCTCAGAGGGTCAGGGTCAAACAGCTATAGACTGTGGCTGCCTGGGAAAACCAGTGATGAACGAGGCAACGAATCCTAAGCCTTTGCTGGCTACCCTAAGGATCGTTTATTATTCTGATGTTTAAAAAAGACCATCCAAATGCATTTTCTTGAAGGAAACGTTTATTTAGAATCTTTATTGGTCAAGCAGTTTCAAACAAATTTAGAACAGGTTTTCACATTTGAGCCTTTAGTGCAAAGCCATTTTGTCATGCGTGAAAGAAATGTTTATCCAGTAAAGCTCTCCCCTGATGCATTTCAGTATCGGAATGATCAGGCAGAAGACTTAATGTGACAGAAATCTGCTCCGAAATCTGCTTGAAAAAGGACATGATTTAAAGCTCATATGAATGTTCTTCATAACATAAATGTGTTTAAATAACTTATCTCAACCTCTTAATTTCAAAATCGAAAGACCCCAAGAATCAACTATCCTTTTAAATAAAAAAAATCAATTTATACTCTTCTTAAAAGAACTCCAACAATGTAAAATAAATTCCAATTCCAGATATATATATATATATGTATGTACATTTATAACTTAGGTGCTCTTTCGCACTATTTGCTTTTATTCATGCAACACTGACAGAGGACTGGATGTGAGGTCCTACAGAGGCCTCTCCGAGAAAGCAGTGTAGCTCCTCGCTCTGGAGAAGAACAAGGGGGTGTACATCTTGTCGATCTCAAAGGCCGAGACTGCAGTCTCACCGGTTGACCTGGAAAGAATGCACAAATTACTAGTTACCAGGAAGCGTCAACTCATTTAAAATCCTTGCATATTTCTGAGGGTGAGGGGTTATTTTATACTCTAGCCTTTTAAAGTTTTTTGTACATCTCAGTAAATTCTAAATAATGCAGGCACATTGTAGAAAATTTTTTTTTAATTTAGAAAAGCACAAAACAGTCACTCATAATTCTATTCTATCATTCAGACACAGCAACACAAAGCACTTTTTTCTAATGTTTCCTCGAAGCACCTCGACCTCTCTAACAAGCTTTCCTACTGAGATCACACTCTATTAGTCACCCTCCTTGTTTCATTTAACATTACGACACATAGATTTCCTAATATCACCAGAAGTCATTTTTAGTGGCTGCTTAGTATTTCACTGTCTGCTTATACTACAATTTACTTAATAATTCCCCTTTTGTTGGGAATTGTACATTGTGTTCAGTTCTTGGCAACTAAAAATGTTGTGATGTTTTTGATTATGTCCTTTGGACAGATTCCAAAGAGTAGATTTTCTAAATCAAAAGGTATACACATTTTAAGGCTCTTGTTAAAATTTAGTCTTAGAAAGAGTAATAATCCTCGAATAGAACTTAATGATTTGATATTAGCATGACCAACAACATAATTACAGATGGGATGCAGGGGAAGCAGAAGTTATACTATTAGTCTTTCACATTTTCCCCCCAAAGAGGAGAAATACATAGAAGCAGAAATATGCTTTTATGCATATTTTAAGAAAGTCAAGGCAATCATTAGCAGTTGCAAACAGTGCCTTTTATAGTGTCTTTTTTTTCTCCTAAAACTTGATGTTTTTTTATTTCTTTGGTTCTACTTCTGGGTTTGGTTTCCACCTTTTAAAACAATCCCACAGGTACCTGAGAGAAACAAAAAGGAGATATGGGAGAAAGAAAAAAAGGTCCTGCTCATTCTCAGTTGTCAGGACCTTCCAAATGAGTGCACAAAGTTATCTGCAAGCTAGAACTGTGGCTGCGAAAGCATTCAACAATGTGGTCGAGGTTGTGAAGTAGGTTAATTGAACGTGATCTCAAAATCTGCCTCTCAGAATTTTGGATTCAAGTGGAATGGGAAGCCTTTAGTCACACATCAATATTCTTCTAAATCCAATAATAGCTAACTTTAATATCCATACGAACTGATATTTCAACTTCTTAATTCCTTTTTTAATTCACTCATTTCTGTGCTGCTCTGTTCTTACACACACTCTTCTGTTCATCACTGGTCTCATACAGGTAAATCCTAACTCAAAGACAGGTCGAGATGGCAGCACGGGGGCACACTGAGCTTGCCTCCTCCCGAGAACTTACCAAATGCACACCTACAATCAGAGCAGTTCCTCCTGAGAGACAACTGAACAACCTCTGCACAACAAGCAAGAGAGAGAGACTGCACAGAGAAGGTTGGGGACCCACAAGAGCACTTGGGGGGCTGAGGGAACCATCTGGACCAGGTGGAATGGGTGTCACAGCGCGTGTACATCGGGCCCCTTTGCAGGCCAGAGGGGGTTTGCACAACATATTCAAAGTATGAAAAGGACCTCTGACCAAGCTTACCCTACTCAGCAAGGCTTTAACTTATAATCAAAGGACAGATAAATAGCTGCCCAGACAAGAAAGAGCTAAAGGAATTCATCACCACCAAACCAGTATAACAAGAAATGTTAACTGGAGACTTCCTCAAGAAGAAGAAAAAGAAAAAAAAAAGAATAAAATGGCAATAACATGGCCATCAATAATTACTTTAAAAGTAAATGGATTAAATGCTGCAATCAAAAGACACAGGGAGGCTGAGTGGATAAGACAAGCAAAAAAAGAGAAAGAACTCAGACACAGACAACCATGTGGTGACTGTGGAAGGGGGAGGGACTGGAAAAGGGTATAGGAGGGATACATGGCAACAGAAAAAAGTAAAATAAAAAATAAACTACTGATAACAACAACAACGAAAAATATAAGACCCATATCTATGCTGCCTATAACAGACCCACTTCACATCAAAAGATACACAAAGTAAAGGAATGGAAAAAAGATAATTTATGCAAATGGAAATACAAAAAGCTCTAGTAACCATATTTATATCGGACAAAACAGAGTTTAAAACAAAAGTTGTAACAAGAGACCATGGAGGATTCAGCGATTTCATTTCTGGGTATTTATCTGAAAACACCCAAGACACTAATTCAAAAAGACCTGTGTATCCCTATGGGCACCATTACAACAGCCAAGGTTCGGAGGCAGCCTAAGTGTCCAGTGATACACGTGTGGATGAAGATAATGGGTACATATATATATTGGGTCGGCCAAAAAGTCCATTTAGATTTTTCTGTAAAATAAAAGACCCATTTTTCACTTTCACCAATAAGTTTACTGACTTGGATATTTTGAGCATGTCAACTACTTCCCACTATTGGCTTCTAGTGGGTAAAGGCCAGGGTGCTTCTGAACATCTTCCAATGTGTTAGCTCCACAGAAAAGAATTACTTGGCTAAAATCAATAATCAATAGTACCAAGAATCTTCATAAAACATTTTTGACATGTTCAATCAGTCACAGTACCTTCTCCACACACTGCACAAATCTTCTTTTGCATTTCAGTTGCATTTTTACCTTCCTTGAAATAATACAGCATAATATGCCAAAAATATTGGGTATTTTCTTCCATCTTCAATATTAAAATGGCTGCAGAAAAATTTACCAATTTTGGTAAGTTTTTAAAAAATGCATGCTGATATGAGAGCTGTCAGAATACAATTTAACAAAACTGTTTTGAATAAAGTTAAAGACAACCAAGGACTACTAGAGCCATTGCACAGAAAAACACTAAACAAACTTTTGGCCAACCCAATACAGTGGAATATTCCTCAGCCATAAAAAGAATGCTATCTTGCCATTTGTTGACACCACAGATGGACATAGAGGGTATTATGCTAAATGAAGTCAGACAGAGAAAGATAAACACCATCTGATTTCGCTTATATGTGGAATCTAAAAAAACCAAAATAAACAAAAAAACAAAACAGAAACAAACTCATAGATAGAACATTTTAATGGTTGCCAGAGGGGAAGGGGTTGGGAGGATGGGTAGAAAAAGGGGAGGGATTGAAATGTATAAATTGCCCATTATAAAAAGTCATGGGGATGTAAAGTACAGCCCAGGGTACTAGACTTACTGGGGTAATCACTTTGTAAGTTATATAAATCTATAATCCTTATGTTCCCTGAAACAATAAAATATTGTATGTCAACTGTAATTTAAAAATTATTTAAAAAGTAAAATAGCAAAAAAAGAAAAAGAAATTCTTACCATTTGCAACAATGTGGATGGACCTGGAAGGTATAATGCTGAGTAAAATAAATCAGACAGAGGACAAATACCCTACGGTTTCACTTATATGTGGAATCTAAAGGATATAAACATGCAAAACAGAAAGACTCACAGACAGAGAGAACAGACTGATGATTGCTAGAGGGGAGTGGGACTAGGGAGACAGGTAGAAAAGGTAAAGGGGAATATGACCAATAATACTGTGGTAAGTTCGCAGTGACAGATCACTGTCACTGTTTGCACTAGACTTAGTGTAGTGATCACACTGCACATAAATGTCAGATCACTGGATTGCACACCTGAAGCTAATATTAGATGGTATACCAAGCAGGTATATAGGTCACCACTATAAAATTCTTTTGACTTTTCTGTATGTCTGGAAATAATGTTTTTGAAGAACATTCAAAGATATTAAGCATGATTATGTAAAATAAAGTATAAGAAAAAAGAATCCTCACAGAACAAGAAACCACCTAATAAATTTGGTTTTAGAATATAAGAAGTCTTCTCAGCAGACTTACTTTTCTAATTACAATTTTATTAAAATCAGTGTATAATCCCTGAGGATAAACCAAATGGAAATCAAGTAAAACAATGGTTAACGCAAACATGGTAGAAGCAAAAAGATCTGGTAAGTAAACATGTATTCTGTAACCTAGGTATTTTTAATGCATTCACCTACTTGTATGTAATGTGACAAGAATGATGTATCCAGATGAGTTTGTTGAACCTCTGGTGGCCACTGGAACACAGCTGTAACCCTACATGAAAACTCTGATCTGCTTCTTGCACAGGGACACGACGAAAATATCTGTATTTATAGTCAAGTGGCTTCTGTAAAAAAAAAAGGTGCATGAGCTTTTCTATATTCCTATAAATATTTTCTATACTTCTAGGAAATATTTATAGAAATATATTATGCAAGAATAACATAATATCTGCATATAGTAGAGATGTCTTGGATATCAAATAAGATTGTATAAGTGTCTTGAAAAATGTTAAGCATTCAGCTCGGGCTGGTGTGGCTCAGTGGACTGAGTCCCGTCCTGTGAACCAAAAGTTCTCTGGTTTGATCCTGTCAGGGCACATGACTGGTTTGTGGGCCAGGTCCCCAGTAGCAAGAGGCAACCCCACATTGATGTTTCTCTTCCTCCCTTCCCTTCTAAAAATAAATAAATAAAATCTTTAAACTAAAAAAGAAAAAGAAAGAAAGAAAAATGTTGGGACTTCCAGCCAAGAGGGAGCCATAGGTGGAAACGCTGTGCCTCCCCGCACAACCAAGTTTAAAGACAACAAAGTTTTAGTAACAAAAACACAACCAGAACACAGAAAATTAAACTGTACCAAAGTCCAACAACAACGAACCATTCATCCAGACTGGTAAGAGGGGCGGAGTCAGTGGCTGGCAGAGCCGGGTGGAGCAGGAAAAAGCGGTAGGACTGGACTGACCCAGGTGCACAGGCAGATCCCAGGCGCGGGGTGGCAACGGGCAGACCCAGTGAGGGCGCAAGGCGGCAGGCTGACCACAGTCACACATTCACTGGCAGGTAAACCAGGCGAAGAAGCAAGCAGTGAGACAGACCACACAGGCTAGGGCCCCAGAGACCAGAATTAAAGCCTAACAGCACCGACTGAAAAAACTCTAGGGATCGAAGTGCCAGGAAAAGCTCCCAGGCTCACAGAGAGTTTGTTGGAGAGACCCACAGTGTCCTGGAGGGTGCACAGGCCCACATACCCGGGAGCAGGCACCTGGGCAGCCGGTTTGGGAAGCAGCAGAGGGGACCAAGATGCTAGAGAGAGAGCGGAAAAAAACGCCATTGCCCCTCTCTGGCCCCACTCCCACATCCAGCGTCACAACTCAGCGACCCGGTCGCACCTCCCAGGTGAACACCTGGGGCTCCACCCCTCATACGTAACAGGCATGAACAGATCAAAACATTATGGCTCAAACAGAAGAACAAATCAAAGCCCCAGAGCCAATACTTTGAAGCAACCAAGAGATAGCCAACCTATCAGATGCACAGTTCAAAACACTGCTGATCAGGATGCTCACAGAACTGGTTGATTTTAGTCACAAATTAGAGAAACAAATGAAGGCTAAACTAACTGAAATGAAGGGAAATGAATAGGAAAGCAATAGTGATGAAAGGGAAACTGGGACTCAAATCAAGGGAGTGGACCAGAAGGAAGATAAAAATGACCAAACAGAAAAGAATGAAGAAACAAGAATTTAAAAAAATGAGGAGAGACTTAGGAACCTCCAGAACATCTTTAAACTCTCCAACATATGAATTATAGGAGTACCAGAAGGGGAAGAGGAACAGCCATGAGTGGAAAGCTTATTTGAACAAATAATAAAGGAGAACTTCCACAATCTGGCAAAAGCAATAGACTTCCAGGAAATCCAAGAAGCTCAGAGAGTACCAAAGAAGTTGGACCCAAGAAGGAATACACCAAGGCACTCATAATTACATTAGCCAAGATTAAAATGAAGGAGAGAATCCTAGAAGCAGCAAGAGGTAAGGGAACAGTCACCTACAAAGGACTTCCCATCAGACTGTCAGTTGATTTCTCAAAAGAGACCTTACAGGCAAGAAGGGGCTGGAAAGTATTCCAAATCATGAAATCCAAAGACCTACAACCAAGATTGCTCTATCCAGCAAAGCTTTCATTTAGAATGGAAGGACAGATAAAGTGCTTCTCAGATAAGGTCAAGTTAAAGGAGTTCATCATCACCAAGCCCTTATTATATGAAATGTCAAAGGGACTAATCTATGAAAAAGAAGATAAAAATGTGAATAGTGAAAGGACAGCAAACTCACAGTTATTAACAACCACACCTAAAACAAAAGCAAACTAAAAGGACAGCTAGATCAGGAGCAGAACCATAGAAATGAAGATCACATGGAAGGTTAGCAAAAGGGGAGTGGGAGAAGAAGGGGGGAGAAGGTACAGAGAATAAGTAGCATAGACAGTAGGTAGAAAATAGACAGGGGGGAGGGCAAGAATAGTATGGGAAATATAGAATCTAAAGAACTTGTGACACATGGACAAAAACTAAAGGGAGGAGTGGTGGGGGAGGGGGTGTGCAGGGTAGAAGGGAATAAAGGGAGGGGGAATGGGACGACTGTAATGGCATAATCAATAAAATATATTTTTAAAAAAAGAACCTAACTACTCATATAAAAAAAAAGAAAATTAAAAGAAAAATGTTAAGCACTCTAAAAACATAAAGGGTTTTTCCCCTCATCATCATCTTCATCTCAGTAAATCATCATAACACGCTCATGTACTAAATATGATTGCATTATTGCTATTTAATGGCTGAAGAATGAAGACCCAAACAGGCCAAAGGAGTTAACCAAAGTTAAACAGCAGTTTCAGATGAGAATTAAGACTTCTGTCTCCCTTCTTGAAGCCTAACTTTCCTCTTAATTGAAAATGCTTGGGAATTTTTTAAGAGAAAGTAGTAAGTTGGTGACATCTACGGAAAAAGCCAAGTATAACTTATTTTTTGCAATAACAGTAAATTAGTCAAGGGAGAAATAGATGTGACAAGCTTCATTAGAATCACACTTCTGCAAATACTGCTGCTGAAAACACAAAAATACCAACACTACATACAGTTTTATTGTGTCATAGTCTAAAGAGAAAACGGCTTTTCTATGTGAGAGTTCCTAAATTCTAATTAGACAAAACCTAGACTGGAGCAATACAAACTCCCCAATTCTGACCTCAGGAAACTCATGGCCAAGGCCGCAGACACTGCTACTATCTCTGCCCCTCAGACTATTACCCCATATGTCGGGAGTCTGTGAGAGCCACGCGGAGAAGCCAACAACAGATGGCCCAGGGGACAGGATTAGGACTCACAGAGAAACCCTATCTTGACATGTAATGCTAGAGAACAGAGAGGGATTCAACACGAGGGGAACTTCTTTCAAATCCTATACTAATTTATAATAGCAATGATAACCTCCTCACAGCTGACTTCTTGGGTATACATTATGGTTTTCAACCAGGGCTAAAAAAAATGCTCTTGGAGAAAGGTTGTTTAAAAAAAATACCCTCAATCTGTTGAGGTTTAAAGCCCTCTAGAGTATGATAATCCAGCAATATATTTGCTTGGCAATTTTTTTCTTTTGTAAGAATGGGAAGAAGGAAATTATCTTACATTAGCTTATTTCCAGTAGAAATTGAAATTCTCTATAAGAACATCCTTATGAAAAAATTACCTATTTGAGCTAATTGAGAAAGAAAATCCCACATGATTCAAAATGAGAAGAGCCAAAAACACATATTCAGGTATCATTTTACTAGTTACTTTATAGGACATTCTGGCTTTACAGTTTCACATGTGAAAACCAGGACCAGGAAAAAAAAAAAAAAACATTTGAAGAAAAAAAAGCGAGTCGCGCCAAGAAAAAATAACCACATTTTTGGGAAAACCCTCTAGTTCCCTTTAGAGATATGCTATCGTCATCATCCATTTTGTATAATAGTGTAAATAATGAAATAGTTTATTTTTATCCTTTCTAATCAAGAATGCTTGAATTAATAGGCTATTAAAATAAAAAGAAAGCGGCTCATTCAAATTTGCATACTCACTTCTTCTTTTTTCTTAGTTATCACAGCAAATACTTTGGTCTGATTGTCTGTATCTTGTGACAAGCGATAATGACCCAATAGAACTGCATCAGTTCTAAAAATAAAAAAATACATTTTAAATCTATTTAGTTATTATGTATATTTAAATAATCTAGAAGATAATGGATTATAATAATGTTTAAGCGACTTGCTGGAGAAGACCCAAGTAGAATGTAAGTAAGCCCAGTGTCCAAGGCCCCAGGGATCTACTGAAGTACTGTCCAGGGGAGAGGTACAGGAATTGTTATTTTTCACAAATGCCCACCCAATGAATACTTTTAAAGTTATCCAACAGTAAGTTAAGAAAACACAAGATCAAATTAACCTGCAAGTTACCATGTAAAATGTGCACTGGATAGAAAACTGCAGAAAAATTCTACCTAGCATTCCGAGTTCTTAAACGAGGAACAATGGACTGGGGCTCCTCAGGGGTCGTCAACATCATCACATGGCCGTCAGGAAAGAACCTTATGTACCTGTGTAAAGAGAAGAACAGCAAACACACCCCCCACACGTAAAACACAAAACACGTCCTTCTTTAGTGGTACCCAAACCTAGTCACAGCTGTGGAAGCAAATCGGAAATACCGTTGGCCAAAACCTCATTCAAATGAGACCAGCAACCTGGGAGACCAGCACCAAAGACCTGATGGCCTTTTACTACCCTCCTGAGAGGGAACTGTTCACTCACTGAATGAAGAGTTAGATTACTCTATTAACGTTCTGTGTGTTTTTTCCTAGAGCACTAATTAATGTCAAACAAAAGTGGACTCACATAATACACAGTAGTTAACATGCCTACTCCTTTCTCGCTGGCAGTATTACCTGATGAACAGTGAGGCTGAGTAACAGCACAAGCTAGTGGAAAGGCAAATGAGCACACCAAGGGCAAAGGACAGGGAAGAATTCTAAAATGTAAAATGGTTCTTTGATTTAGAGACTAGGTGGAATTAAATTTATAGCAACCCACTGGTTTTTTAAGTATGATTTCTGTTATAACATTGGATAAAGACACTGAGGGGCCACTTTGTGTATAAATGCAAAAGCCACAGAGAACAGACGTCCAATGACTAATGAACAACTACTTGGAGAGAGAGAATTTTTCACTCACTCAGTTGTACCTGTAATATTCCACTTGGTGCCAGGCTCTATAGAAACCATCAAGAGACTGTTCCCCTTGACGAATATATGTGGTTTTACTGATATACACTCCTATTTAAAAAAGCAAAACAAAACATTTTTAAACAATTAAGAACACGGTAAACTTAGAGAATCTTAATTACAATCATATAGTATGTTTCTAGCCTTACTTTTATTGCAGTTTCATTTAAATGTACTCATGGTACTTAGGTCTGTCACAGAAAACTGAGTATTTAACGCAATCAGCATGATGGATCCCTAGTTCTCCTGAGTTCTAAAGGGTTCAACTTACCATCAAACCGAACACGGGGCCTTTCTAGAAACATCTCTCTCCAGGATGTGTACGGAACAAGTTTAATGCAGCTTCTGCCCCAAACTTTCAAGCAGGCCAAACGCCATATTTCAGGGTCTCTAAGTAAGAAAATCACAACGTCAATATATATAAAAGGCTAAGTCCCTACGTGCAGACTTAAGAAACAGTCCTGCTCTGAGCCACCTTCTATTCAGCAAGTATCTGTTTGGTGCCTGCCAGGCACCATCTTGGGCCATAGAGACAGATAGATGGATGAAGGCCCTGCTCTTTTTACTGGTGGGAAAGCGAAGAAAAACTAGAAAACAGAAGGAAAGTTTCAGGTACTGTGCTCAGCGCAAAAAACAAACAAAGCAGGGTGAACAGACAAAGATGTGGTGCTGGGGAAATGAGGACTATTGTAGACGCAGTGGCTAAGGGAAGACTCTTTGGACAGGTAGTGAGGAAGCGTATCCTGGGCAGAAACCATAGCAAGTTCAAGACCCTCAGGTGGGAGTGTGGCTGGTCTGCTCCACAAGGAGCAAGAAGGGCCACACAGTTGCAATGAAGTAAAGGCAAGGTGAAGCATAGGCTATGGAATCTTAGGGGTAGTAAGGGGCCTGTGAGGTCTTGGTTTACTGGTGGGAGTGGCTGTTAAGTGAGACAGAGGCCACTGCAGAGTTTTCAGCACAACTTAGGCTTTTAAAAAGATGACTCTGGCCCTGGCTGGTGTGGCTCAGTGGATTGAGCGTGGGCCTGCGAACCAGAGGATCACGGTTCAATTCCCAGTCAAGGGCACATGCCTGGGTTGTAGGCCGTTCCCAGCACGGGACGCACAGGAGGCAACCATACACTGATATTTCTCTCCCTCTCTCCTTCTCCTTCCCTTCCCCTCTAAAGATAAAAAAATAAAATCTTAAAAAAAAAAAAGATGGCTCTGGAAGAGGTCCAAGATAGCGGTGGCAGAGGAGGGGATGCTGAATTCACCCTCTCCAATATGCCAAACACAAATATACACCTATATCGTGAGCACTTGTGAGCACTTACTGCAAAAAAACTGAGGGCTAAATGAACAGCTTTTTAAATTTTTTATTTCAAGAGAGAGAGGGAAAGTAGAGAAACATCAATGTGTGGTTGTCTCTCACGTGTCCCCTACTGGGGACCTGGCCTACGACCCAGACATATGCCCTGACTGGGAATCGAACCCATGGCCCTTTGCTTCGCAGGCCTGTGCTCAAATCAAGCCACTGAGCTACACCAGCCAGGGCTGAATGAATAGCTTTTGAACAAGGAAGAGAAAGAGACAAATAGAGAAGACTGGAAGCCACAAGGGCCGTCTGGGAACTGTGGAAACTGTCAGGGCTGGAGGAGCTGGTGAGCACCACTGTTTACATCCCCCTTCACTTTGATAGGGCGGGCAGGGGCTTTATTTGGGTGCTTTCATCTATACCTGCAACATCACCGGGAAGTGCATTCCCAGTTACACTACCCAGAGTCTCCTGCCTCCAGACCAAGGAAGCTGGCAGGAACAATGGGACATGCCATGCACCTGCTGGCCTCCTTGCAGGGAGCCCCTCCAACCCTCAAGCCAGCACTCCCAGTGCCGTAAGCGCCTGACCACTCCCACCAGCCTTCTAAAACTGCCAGCAATAAAGCCTACACTGAGATAACTACGCAAGACAAACAAGAGAGACTGTACAGAGCAGGCTGGGGAGCCATGGGAGCTCTCTGGGCTGGAGGTGCTGGCGAGCACCATTGTTTATGTCCCCCTCCACCTCCACAGGGTGGGCGGGAGCTCCATCCAAGTGCCCTGGCCTATCAATAAAATCACTATGGCATGTTCCTTTCCTAGGCACAGTACCCAAGCCCACTTTGCTTCTGAACAAGGGAACAAGGAGAAAAAACAGGGCATTACTACATGCACTTGGCCTCCCCAACCAGAGTCTCTCCAACTTGGTAGACCAGCATCCTGGTCACCTTAGCACCTGCTTGGCTCCTACCAGCTTGCCAAAACCACGTGGCACACAGAACCCACACAGAGGCCATTTCTACATACAGCCACTTTTTCAAGACTGGGGAAGAAATAGCTATTGTGTCTAATTCATATAAACAAACATGAAAAGTCAAACAAAAAAATATCCCCAGAATGTCTCAAATGAAGGAACCTATTTAAATGAAGGAATGAGAAAATCCCCCAGAACAGAGATAAGTAATTTGCCTAATAAAGAATTTAAAGAGCCCTGGCTGGTGAAGCTCAGTGGATTGAGCCTGGGCTGAGAACCAAAGTGTCACTGGTTCAATTCCCAGTCAGGGCACAGGCTTCGATTGCAGGCCAGTTCCCAGTGGGGGCCATGTGAGAGGCAACCACACATTGATGTTTCTCTCCCTCTCTTTCTCCTTCCCTTCCCCTCTCTCTAAAAATAAATAAATAAAATCAAAAAAAGAAAGAAAGAAAGAAAGAAATCAAAGAAAGAAAGAAAGAAATCAAAGAAAGAAAGAAAGAAATCAAAGGAAGAAAGAAAGAAAGAAAGAAAGAAATCAAAGAAATGGTCATAAGGATGCTCATCAAGCCTAAGTGTGGAATAGAGGAACTTCAGGATAATTTCAACAAAGACAACGTATAATAAATAGGCAGACCCCTGGCTGGTGTAGTTCAGTGGATTGAACACAGGCCTGCGAACTAAGGGATCGCAGTTCGATTCCCAATCAGGGCACATGCCTGGGTTGCAAGCCGGTTCCCAGCAGGGGACGCATGAAAGGAAACCATACAATGACATTTCTCTCCCTTTCTCTTTCTCTTCCCCTCTAAAATAAATGAATAAAATTTTAAAAAAAAATTCAAAGTCTTAAAAAAAAAGAAATAGGCAGAGCTGAAGATTATAATAACTGAAACACAAAAAACACATCAGAAAGAATCAACATAAAAGTAACTAATACAGAGGAACAGATCAGTGACCAGGAAGACAAACTAGTGGAAATTAATAAATCAGAGAGGCAAAAAGAAAAAATTTTAAAAAGCAAGGATAACATAAAGAACCTCTGGGACAACATCAAGTGCTCAAATAGTCCCATTATAAGGATCTCAGAAGGAGAAAAAGAAAGGGACAGAAACCTTATTTAAAGAAATAATGGCTGAGTCCTGCAGGCCAAAAGGTTGCCAGTTCAAGTCCAGGTCAGGGTGCATGCCTGGGATGCAGGCCAGTTCCTGGGTTGAGGGTGTGGGAAGCAACTGATCCAAGTTTCTCCCTCTTTTTCCCTCCTTTCCCCTCTCTTGAAAAATAAGTAAATAAAATCCTAAAAAAACATGGCCCCTTTATAAGCTGTCTATATGACATTCATTTCAAACTGAAAGACAGATACAGACCGACAGTGAAGGGATGAAAAAAGATATTTCATGCAAATAAAAACAAAGAAATTTGGGGTAGCATATTCATATCAAATAAATCTTAAAACAAAAAAATGTAAAAAAGAGAAGATAAATAAGGACATTACATAATTATAAAGGAGTCAAGCCAGGAAGAGGACATAATGGTAAATATCCTCACACCAAACACAGGAGCACCTAAAGATAGAAAGCTCCACAGACTGAAAGGGAAAAATCCACAGTAATACAATAATAGTAAGGGATTTTAATACTCCATTCACATGAATGGATAAATCACCCAGACAGAAAATTCGTAAGAAAATAATGGCCTTAAGTATCATATTAGAAAGACTGACTTAATAGAAATTTATAGAACATTTTATCCAAAAGTGGAAGAATACACATTTTTTTCAAGTGCCCATGAAACATCCTCAAGGACTGATCACAGGCCACAAAATAAGCCTCAAATAATTCGAGAAGACAGAAACCGTATCAAGCTATTTTACTGACCACAATGGCAAGAAACTAGATACCAACTTCAGAGAGAAAACTGAAAAAAACAAAACAAAACAACACCCCACAAATACATGGAGGCTAAACAACCTGTTACTAAACAACCAACAGATCAAGGAGGAAATAAAATTATCTTGAAACAAATGAAAATGAAAATAAAACTTTTTCAAATTTATGGGATGTGGCAAAGGCAGTTCTAAAAGGGCAGCTCACAGCTATTGCAGCTCACCTCAGGAAGTAAGAAAAATCCCAAATATACAACCAAATCTACCCACAAAGAAACTAGAAAAACAGCAACACAAAACCCCAAAGTAAACAGAAAAAACAAATAGTTAAAATCAGAGCAGATACAAACAAAATCAAAATTTAAAAACCAACAGAAATGATCAATGAAACTAAGAGCTGGTTATTTAAAAAGTTTAACAATACTAACCAACCTTTAGCCAAATTCCTCAAGAAAAAAAGAGAAAGGCCAAATAAATAAAATCAGAAATGAAAAAGAAGTTACAACCACTACCTCAAAAATACAGAGTCTGCCCTGGCTGGTGTGGCTCAGTGGACTGAGTGCTAACTTGCAAAACTAAAGGGTCACTGGTTGGATTCCCAGTCAGGGCACGTGCCTGGGTTACAGGCCAGGTCCCCGATGGAGGGGGGGCATGCAAGAGGCAACCACACAATGATGTTTCTCTCCTTCTCTGTCATAAAATCTTTAAAAAAAAGGAAAAAAGAAATACAGGGTTCGGCACAAATAATGCTTCTTTTTTTATTACAAAATTATAAGCATGTAATTTTGTACATACCAATATCACACTCAAGTAACCATGTGACATTTTAGGTGAAATGTTCAAATTAAAATGATAAATTATACCCATATTATTACCCTACCAACCACACTTAAGCAGGCCCTTACTTCTGCTGGACTCTCTACAAAGAATCATTAAAAAAATACAATTATATGCCAACAAATGTGACAATCTAGAAGAAATGAATAAATTTCTACAAGTATATTACCTTCCAAGACAGAACCAAGAAGTACAAAACCTAAACAGACTGATTACTACCAATGAAATTGAAGCATAATCATAAAAACTCCCAACAAATAAAAGTCCAGGACCGGATTGCTTCACAGGTGAATTTTACCAAACAGATAAAGAATTAATAGCTATCCTTTTTAAACCATTTCAAAAAATTGAAAAGGAAGGACTGCTTCCAAACTCATTCTACAAAACCAGCACTACCCTGATACCAAAATCAAACAAAGACATTACGAAACAGAACACTACAAGTCAATATCCTTGATGAAAAAAGATGTAAAAATTCTCAACAAAATATTAATAAAACCTGATTCAACAACAGCTGTGGCTGGTGTGACTCAGTGGATTGAGCACCAGCCTGCAAACCAAAGGGTTGCCAGTTCAATTTCCACTCAAGACACACTCCTGGGTTGCAGGCCAGGTCCCAGAGATACAGAAATCAAGCTGCCAATCGTCAAGGGGGAGGGGGCAGAGGATAGGAAAAAGAAGAAAAACAAAAGATTGCTCTGGTGGTTTACGGCGGTACATGCTTCAGGCCTGAAGGCCTGGAAGCAGAGACCTCATTGAGTGCTTCTGCCATAATCCAGACTAGGTATCACGGTGGCTGAACCAGAACTGGGTTTTGGAGAAGCAGCAGAACGGTCACATTAGAGAAACATTTTAAAGATGGCGGCCCCAAGACTTTGTTACGGGATTAGTACAAAATGCAAAGTTAAAAGATATGATTAAATATTCACATGATTCTTATACAACTCAAAATGCTTTTAACTTCTATAATTTAAAGTAGGTGGTTTTAAAGATGTAAAAGCTATTTATATTGGAGCCAGACTGCAAAAAAAGATCCCCCCCAATTTTTAATTCCCTCATGTTTGCTATGTATAATCAAAAGAAGTTAATGGAGTAACAGTGCTAGAGACCAAAATTTCAAAAGGTTGGTGGCAATCTACTAGATGTTTAATAGGTACTTGTTAAACAGAATAGTACACACAACCACCAAAAACCAGTCTTCAAGCAATTCCCATGTTTTACCCCAAATACAAAGACTCCAAATGAAATTAGGTTATTTAAAAGTAATGCAGCTAAATTTTAAGAACTAAAGTTATAAGTTCTAGATGTAAGGACTAAGTATATATATTTTTATATAAAATGCCCATGAAAGAGTATCGGTCTCAAATGATGTTATACAAAATTATATTTACACAGAATTTTATTTTTTTTTATTTTATTGATTATACCATTACAGTTGTCCCATTCCCCCTTCCTTCCCCTCTACCCTGCACACCCCCTCCCCCTCCATTACCCCCTTTAGTTTATGACCCCGTGTCTCAAGTTCTTTAGATTCCATATTTCCCACACTACTCTTGCTCTCCCCCCTATTTTCTATCTACTGTCTATGCTACTTATTTTCCGTACCTTCTCCCCCCTTCTCCTTCTCCCACTCCCCTGTTGCTAACTCTCCATGAGATCTTCATTTCTATGGTTCCGCTCCTGATCTAGCTGTCCTTTTAGTTTGCTTTTGTTTTAGGTGTGGTTCTTAATAACTGTGAGTTTGTTGTCCTTTCACTGTTCATATTATCTTCTTTTTCTTAGATAAGTCCCTTTAACATTTCATATAACAAAGGCTTGGTGATGATGAAGTCCTTGAATTTGATCTTATCTGAGAAGCACTTTATCTGTCCTTCCATTCTAAACGAAAGCTTTGCTGGATAGAGCAATCTTGGATGTAGGTCTTTGGTTTTCATGACTTGGAATACTTCTTTCCAGCCCCTTCTTGCCTGTAAGGTCCCTTTTGAGAAATCAGCTGACAGTCTGATGGGAAGTCCTTTGTAGGTGACTGTCCCCTTATCTCTTGCTGCTTCTAGGATTCTCTTCTTCATTTTAATCTTGGCTAATGTAATGATGATGTGCCTTGGTGTGTTCCTTCTTGGGTCCAACTTCTTTGGGACTCTCTGAGCTTCCTGGATTTCCTGGAAGTCTATTTCCTTTTCCAGATGGGGGAAATTCTCCTTTATTATTTGTTCAAATAAGCTTTCCACTCATGGCTGTTCCTCTTCCCCTTCTGGTACCCCTATAATTTGGATGTTGGAGCATTTAAAGATGTCCTGGAGGTTCCTAAGCCTCTCCTCATTTTTTTGAATTCTTGTTTCTTCATATTTTTGTTTCGTCATTTTTATCTTCCTTCTGGTCCACTCTCTTGATTCGAGTTCCAGTTTTCTTTCCATTACAATTGGTTTCCTGTGCATTTCTCTTCATTTCAATTAGTTTAGCCTTCATAAGTTCCTCTAATTTGTGACTAAAATCAACCAGTTCTGTGAGCATCCTGATCACCAGTGTTTTGAACTGTGCATCTGAAAGGTTGGCTATTTCTTCACTGCTTAGAGTTATGGGCTCTGGGACTTTGAGTTCTTCTTGAACCATGTTTGGTCTCTTTGTGCCCATTAAGTATGAGGAGGGGAGCCTTGGGTGTTCACCAGGGCGGGGCCACCCAAGTTGCTGGTTTGTGACACTGTATGTGGGGGTGGGGTCAGAGCAGGGCAATAGCGGTTCCCTCTGCTGCTTCCTGCTGCTGGGGCCTGCGTGGTCTGTCTCACTGCTCGCTCCTTCGCTGGTTTATCTGTCCGAGAATGTGTGACTGCAGTCAGCCTGCCGCCTTGTACCTTCACTGGGTCTGCCCTACGCCGCCTTACACCTGGGGATTCGCCAACTGCCAACCCCGCGCCTGGGTCGATCTGGCTGAATTTTCCTGCGCAACCCCGTTCCGCCAGCTGCTGGCTCCGCCCCTCATACCGGTCTAGCTGAAGGGTTCCTTGTTGTCGGACTTCAGTAGTTTAATTTTCTGTGTTATGGCTGCGTATCTGTTTTACTAAAACGTTGTTGTCTTTAAACTTGGTTGTGCGAGAAGGCACAGTATTTCCACCTATGCCTCCATCTTGGTGGAAGTCCAGAATGATTTTAAATAGGATTACTTTTAATGTGCTAAAAGAAAATTGTAGTGCAATCCAAATTTAAATCATTACCAATTAACTGGTTTAGAGTTACTGTGAAAATAGCTTCAGTATTTTTTAGCATAATTTCTTTTCCAAATCAGCTAAATTAGCATGCAAACTACCCTATGGAAGTAATGTATGTAACCGTATCTGTTCCACATATTATTCTATACCCTGGAAACCTATTACATCACAGCAGCACAATTTACAATAACCAAGGGCTGGAAGCAACCTAAGTGCCCATCGGTAAATGAGTGGATCAAAAAATTATGGTACATTTATATAATAGAATACTATGCAGCAGAGAGAAAGAAGGAGCGCCTACCCTTTGAGACAGCATGGATGACACTGGAGAGCATTATGGTAAGTGAAATAAGCCAGGCAGTGAGGAACAAATACCATATGATCTCACCTATAAGTGAAACCTAATGAACAAAACAAAGAAGCAAGCAAAATACAACCAGAGACACTGAAATAAAGAACAAACTGACAGTAACCAGAGGGGAGGGTGGAGGGTGATAATGGGGGAAGAAGGGGGAAGGGTCGTCAAGGAACATGTATAAAGGGCCCATGGACAAAGCCAAAAGGGGAAAGGATGGAGGGTGGGAGTAAAGGTGACTGGAGCAGGGGTAAGTGGTGGCAGGAAAATGGAGACAACTGTACTTGAACTACAATAATAAGTAAGATAAAGAGATATGGAGGTAAATATCAAAAGAATCAGCTAAAATCATTAGAAGTATTTGCTCCTAGGGGGTGGTTACTTCCACCAGGTTTGTGGGGAGGGGTGGAAAGCGGGGGATTGCTGTTCATTTTGTTTAGTTTTTAAGATCAAACCCAGTTGAATTATGAAATTCTTTAAACTATGAGCAGATGTAACATTAATTAAAAATATAAAACTAAAAAATAAAATAAATCATTCTACATGAGAAAAATAAAAAAGAAAACCTATTGCATTCCAGCCTTTAAATGATAAATAGTTTGAGAAATTCACATATGTATAACCAAGCAAAACTGTTCTAGAATAGCTTTTACCCAGAACATCAATCAAATTCTTTTATCAGAATTGGCAAGTGATCCCAATACCTTTTTTCACCACTCCGAGTGGTTTAAAAAAGTAAGTACCTGGCACAGATATAGAATCCTCTGCACACCTGCGACAGCTGCTCCAAGGATCTGAGGTCTAAGTCACTAGACACCACCCAGCGGAAGATGTACATCAGGACCTCCATTGGCAGCACTGCAAAAGAAAACCCCCCTCAGTGACTCTCCTGCTGTTCCACTGCCTGCTCCACCGCCATGCTGTCAGTGCAGACACGTTTACGCATTCCTACAAATTTCTCAGTCCCATCTCCAGTACTGCTCAGACGTCTTGCATGAGTGTACTTACCTAGAAGCAATAACGCTTCCTAACATCAAGACACAAATCTTTATTTTTAAGTATGGAACAGATCTGAAGCTACTGTTATAAAGCAACCCCATCTCTCAGAAGATCATTTTACTACCAATAGGTATTAAAACAAGTGTGTTAGAAAAACGGTCTACATTGGTATGTGTGTGGATCCATACTGCATTTAAGAGTAAAAAGTTATTTTTATCTTCTTGAAAATGTCTAATTGTCCTCTTCTGAAAAGTCCCATAGCTAATTAAACACTTAACATATAGAAAGAAAAAGACATTCATTCTTAAACATTCAACCTGTATCTCAGGACTGCTGTCCAACTTGGCTGAAACACATGATGACCCTAGTAAGTCCCTGGACTCCTCCAGCGTTCTGAGGACTGCCCCCAACAACTCAGAGGGTCGCCCTCCTAGATCATAAGTAAAAACGTGTGGCATTCTTGAACAACTGCATTGCAAACTCCGCTCTACTTTGGACTTGTAGGCAAACACAAACAATAATTACAACTAGATCTCCAATCATATTTCGAATGAGACAGACTATCCGGCAAGTCATCTGACTTTTTAAGTTTGGAAAACCAAAATCTATGGTAATGTCTTTCTCGTGGACTTACAATGAGCATACATTCTCACCTGATATGTGAGTCTGACTGCTCTCAAGTTCGGGCTGACACAGTTTGAGCAGAGACTCCTGAACTGTGAGCTGCTGCTGGAAGTAGGACAACAGATCTGCCATCTTGCTATCGTCATCATTATCTTCAATGCTGCAAAAAAGGAGGGAGGTGAACACACTAAGGGCCTCGGTCTACAAACAAAAAGCTTAGGAACTGATTTTTCATAGCATTTTCAAATCTAAAAGCAACTTCTCCCTACTTTTTTCTCTGATGTGATGAAAGTTTATCCTGCCTTGCAGGAGGTACCACCACAAGTCTTTTGAAGAAAAAGGCTTCAGCAAATTTTATTTTCCATGTAGAAAGAATTACAGTTTGGGGATACAGATGGTGTGATTTAATTGTTTTATTGTAGACATTTCATGTGTTAATGAAAAAGATAGTTTCAAATGACTTTTAAAATCTGAAGTAAACATATTCTCTCTCTTTTTTTAAAGATTTTATTTATTCATTTTTAGAAAGACAAAGGGAGAAAGAGAGGGAGAGAAACATCAATATGTAATTGCCTCTCAAGTACCCCCTACTGGGGACCTGGCCTGCAACCTAGGTATGTGTCCTGACTGGGAATCAAACTAGTGACCCTGTGGTTCACAGGCTGGTACTCAATTCACTGAGCCACACCAGCCAGGGTTGAAGTAAACATTTCTTTAAGTGACTAATTTTATCCATCTAATTGGATAAAAATCAAATATACAGCTGTCATTTGAGGTACTTAACCAAGGTTTTCTAACAGATGTGCCTTATCACCCTACGTTTAGAGAGGGAAATGTGTAATTTAAAAAATCTCAGCAGGGTCCACAAACCATCTACCAATATAAACAAATGTATAGTTAGAGTTCTGGGAAAATATCCAGCTTACCATTTTTGCTGAAAGTAACCTTTAAAATGATCAGATATATAAAAAGGTTTGGATGAGGATGAAGTTGGAAAACCAGGAAGAGCTTATTATGACTTGACAAGGGGGCAAGTGTGGTTGAGTCTGGATGGATTCAGGGGCTACTTTACCAGCACTGAACAAAAGATAAAAAAAAAAACCAACAAAGAGAGTTTTATGGCCTATTAGATCTGATAAAAAAATTATGTACATCTTTAAAGAACTTTTATAAAATCTGAGTTTATATAAAGAGATTGTACAGAAAAGAAACATATCTTTAATATTTTAATACAAACTTTCTTAACAGCAGATGCAGTCTCTTTACTGGGTTCAAATGACTAACTAAATTTTAAAAGGCTTAGAAAAAAGCCCAAATGATTCCTTTTTAGTATGCACTAACTTATACTGTTAAATTGAATTCAGTGAGCAGTATTACTGGCCCAAATGTTTCAACAGTCAATTAATAATGACTTCACTGGGATGTTTTTAATAAGGCCTATCCGAGGCTTATGTTAATAGTATAAGCAGTTAAGAAATACTGGCAAAAAGCATAGTTACTGGTAAAGATAACGTCTTAATTATTTCATGGCAGCGGTAATATAATAACAGGTCATAAAATATCTCATTACCAAACTTTTTCTAGGTGTTGTTCATTTTAAATCTGACATTCTCCCATGGGTACAAACTCCCTCCCCTTCTATTATCAGCAAATTGGGCTTTGGGGAATAAAAGGATTGAGCCAAAACAAGTTTGTAATAGTTTTGCAAATAGCTTGAAAAGTACTGACTTAAAAATATGTTCTTTTGATCTTTGTCATATAACACCATCAATGCTACCTTCATGACTGATTCAGGAGCTGGGTTTATACAATAAAATGTGGTTTCTTGCCTTTTTAAAAAGATTTTATTTATTCATTTTTAGAGAGAGGGGAAGTGAGGGAGAAAGAAAGGAAGAGAAATACCGATGGTTGCCTCTCATGGCCAGGGAATCAAACCAGCAGTCTTTTACTTGGAGGGATAATCCCCAGCTAACTGAGCCACAGTGGTCAGGGTGGAAAGTGCTCTCATTTAGGAGTGATTACATCCTGCTCCTGTGCTTTTAAACCAACAGTACAGTCTTAATGATATTCCACCTACATACCATAAGAGAATAATAAACAGAGTCTTGTTGTAATTCAGCCTTTTCCTAATAAATGAAAAGCCCCTAAGTAAAAATGTATAGTTTCAAACATATACAAAACGAGAAAGACTAGTGTAATCAAAGCCTATGTACCCATCACCCAATTTCAAACATTATTAACATTTTTCAATTTTGGCCTAATAACATTTTAATAATTCTGACTTCAGGTTTCAGAAAGTTGAAATACACCCTTTAATTTACTCCTTTTAATAATCACTACTTTCTTTAACAAATTCTTTCACCACTTCGTTATGTCTGTTTAAAATGTACATTTCTGTATTTTAATCTTAAAATGTCCCTAATTAAGTAATTTCTGTAACTTTATAAACAAGTCTCTATACTAAAGACTGTATGACTTAACATAAAAGCACCATCTTCTTATCATGTTAAGAGTAAACAGGGCAAAGATGCTTAATTTTAACAAACTCTATGTATTACTGTCTATCAAATTATATACGCACTAGCTGTTTCCAACGCCATCACCATCTGGAGACCGGGTATAAGTAATCTTGAACTCTATATCAGGTACAAGTTGCATAGCCCTACGATAAAACTTGATGGCTAAAAGAAGAAATAAAGCTAAATTAGCTATGACCACACATTTTTTGTTATTTCCTTTGATTACCCTTAAGTGTCATTTAACTGGGTAACTTTCGTTACAAACAGCCTTTTCTACATGCAACAGGAGTTCAGTGACAAACTTATTTACAAATCTTACTACTCAGAAATCATCTTTCTTTTTCCTAAAGCTAACATGTTATAGGAACTTAAGATGTTGCATTTTACTCTTGGCTTTTAGCCTTTCCCATCTTTTTCCTCAGCCGGTTACATATTGTCAGAAGTGATCTTATGTGAATGTCTTTCTTTTGACTTTGAAAATGCAACTGCCATAGTCCCAACTGAAAAATACTTTTAAGCAAATTTTTCCTTCTCAAATGCAAAGTTAAGGAAAATCAAGTGCTTCCTAGTGGGCGGAATAAAGAAAAGACTTTTTTGAATTTTTTCAAATACAACTTTAGTCCAACTGCCTCTTATTTAGCTAATAACCTGTAGAACCTGTTTGTTTTAAAACAGAGCTGCCTTAGGCACCTGGCTAGCTCAGTGGGTAGAGCATGAGACTCTTATATCTCCTGGCCAGGGTGTTTAGAGTTATATTATTCAATAATGTCTTCCATGGAGATGTGCTAACAGAACGTGGGCTGCAGAGGTGGACCTGATGAAGTCAATTCAATACATTCTGTCATTTTTTTTTTTTTTACTCTGGGCAAATCACTGCACACTATGTGGAGATGGGAATCTTACAAACTAATGAAGATTATGGAGAGGTATTAATTGGACCCTTTTAACATCTCAAAGTAAATGTATCACTAGAAGAACTTTGCAAATAATAGAATAATTCTGGAAAATGTTACTTTGAGGGCATATTCAAATGAATCAAGGGCAAGAATCTTTTCTATGCCCCAATTATCAGCTTTACTAGCACAACATGGAAGCTCAATTCCAACCGAGGATGGTAAACAGCCCCAACACACTACTCCCGCATTTCTATCAGCTTACTAAAAGAAACAAAGTTAAAGGGTGTTCCTTTACAGACAACTGTAAATCAGAACCTAGAAAACATATTTTCCTCAATGCATCCTTAACATTCTCCTCTCCAGAAGTCATTCCACCAATAAAAGAAGCACAACCTATTTTTATATGTGACAGTATTTTTTAAGACTTTAATAATGAAGAATAAATATTAAAACCCAAATATAAAAAAAAATCATTTTACTCATCCTACCAATACGATGTTTACCAGCAGTATTTTTTTTGGGAAGAGACAGGTTCTATAGAAATACAATTTTTATTTTTGATGCTTTAAAAACCAATTTCAAATGTAGCAAGTCTGACATTCCATACCAAACGTATTCTAATAAAAACAACTCTCTCAGCAACAAAGAGCTGTTGCTCGGAAATGTCACGCAGGATGATCCGGGGCCCTGAGTATTTACCCTCGTAAAGAGCTCCATTTTGTTCTTCTTCTACTGCTTTTAGGAAGAGTTCTCGAGCCTGTAAAAATAAGTAATGAAAACATTTTTTGAAAATCGGCATTAAAATGGAGTATGAATATCAGAAGGATAGCTTTTTCAACAAGTAGTGTTAATACAATTGGACATCCATAGGCAAAATAAGAAATCTCGACCTAAACCTCACACCTTATAGAAAAATTAACTTCAAAGTGGAACATGGACTTAAGTCTAAAACTTTTTAAACTTTCAGGAAAAAAAAAGATTAAAAAAAAAAAACCTTGGGAGACCTAGCAATATGCAAACTCTTACACTTGATGCCAAAAATATAATCCATAAAAGTTGGTAAGTTGGGCCCTGGCCAAGTGGTTCAGCTGGTTGGAGCACTGTCCTGTACACGGAAAGAGAGTTGTGGGTCAGATACGCTGTAAGGGCATCGATTGCAAGTTCAATCTCTGGTTGGGGTGCAAGAGGCAACTAATTAACGTTTTTCTCTCACATCCATATGTCTTTCTCTCTCTCCCCCCTCCATTTCTCTCTCTCAAATGAATAAATATATTGTCAGCTGAGGTTAAAAAAATAAGTACATAAATTGGACCTCATCAATAGCAAAAACTTGTTCTACAAAATGCCTTGTAAAGATGCAAAGACAAACTATAAACTGAGATAAATTATTTATAAGCCACACGTTCAACAAAGGACTTGTATTTAGAATATTAAAAAAAACAAACAAAAAACCTCTCAAAACAGTGAAAACATAAGCAATATAATTAGAGAAGATAAACAAATATTTCACAGATATATCATGATACAAACAGCATATGGAAAGATATTCAGCATCATTAGACATTAAGGAACTATAATTCAAATTACAATGAGGTTTTACTACAAACCTATTAAAATGGCTAAAATTAAAAAGTCATGAGAACACCAAATGCTGAGGATGAGGATGCGGAGACACCAGGTCACTTGTACATGGCTGAAGGGAAGATAAAATGGTCTGGTTTGCACAACAGTTTGGCAGTTTCTTTTAGCCAAAGATGCGCTTACCTAGCGTATACACTCTTAGGACAGAGAAATGAAAACTTATGTTCATGCAAAAACCTGCACATGGACAGTCACAGCAGCTCTGCACCTAACAGCCAAAAAACGGAAACAACCCAAATGTCCTTCAACTGGTGACTAAATAAACTGGGTATGTCCATACATGCAATACTACTGAGCAACAAAAAGGAACAAACTATTGATACACACAAGAATTTGAATGGATCTCAAAGAAATTATGCCAATCTCAAAAGTGTATGATTCCATTTACATAATTTTTAATATTAACATTATAGAAATGGAGAATAGACTAGTGGTGAGGAATGGCAGGGAAGGAGGAGAGAGTATACCTGTAAAAGTATAGGCAACTGGGAGCCTTGTGGTAACAAAACGATTTTGTATCTTGAGCAGCACTTACACATTAATAAAACTGCGCAGAACTATTTTTATATATACACACAGAAAAGTGCTTATAAATCTGGGAGTCTGAATAAGCCCTGTGGATTGTAGCACTGTGTATTTCCTAGTACTCTAGCTATGTAAAATGTCACCATGGAGGGGAATGGGAGAAGGGTGCCGGAGACTTCCCTTTACCTGTGAATCTGCAATTATTTAAAAATTAAAATAAACATGGAAGTTTTGGTTTACCATGGCAGTGTCACTTACTTAACGGTAAATTGCGTGTAAACAAAAACTTGGATCTGATGGTGTACGGATGATGGCCTCTACAGAATAGGAGAGTAATAAGAGGGTGTGCTACGCTCCCTGCATGCGAATAATAGGAAAGAAGTAAACAATTAGACAGCTTTCAGAATTTTTTCAGTGTGAGGACTTAGAAAAGTTTCCAGATGAATGCATCATCATACATGTGGTTCAATTCAAAATAGAACAAAATGTTGTATTAAAATCTTTGGAAAGATGTTAACATTTGAATAATTTTTTCTCTTCTGTAATAAATTCAGAGGCATTAATCTTTTAGAGATCAAATGAATCTCAGGGGTCTGTAAGTCACCAAAGACAGTTCCATGAAGACAGTGTCCCTGCAAGAAGGATGCCCATAAAGAGTAGTGACATCTCCCGAAGTACCTAGAAACAGTAGTGGGATGCATAAACCGGCATATTTGTCAGTTCTTTCAAGTACAATGTCCATAATACTTAACTTTTCTTCTTTTGCCATTTCTTGCTTTCCTTTGGTATCCGCCACTTTCAGAAAAGAACCCCGGGCTCCTGCTCTGCAAGATCGAGTTTCTAAATTGCCAGAGCCGACACCTGGGGCAAGTTCAAACATCCACTGAGCTCGGAACCTCTGGAGCTGGGCCTGGGGAAGAAACAGATTTCAAGACTCTTCGAGAAAGAGTAGCTCAATTTGGGAATAATCTGTCATTAGGTCCAATGTCAGTTTCCATACATATATACATATTCTAAGACCAGAAATCACTGTCTTTTAAATTACTAAGTTAATACAATTAAACACTTGTTCTAAAATAATTTTCTGCTTAAAACTTCAAAGAAATTATGAAACTTTGCCTACAATAAGACTGCCTATACAAGAAAAATCTAATAGTATGGGAAAACCAAATTTTAATTAGAATAAAAAATATAAGCCATCATTTAGGGACTGAATTTAGATGCTTTCCACATTTGTTTACTTGGACTACACCATCTAGTAGATGTTGAAATTGCTGCTAAAAATTCTCTACGCAAGCCCAAAGTATTTTTTAACAGCCCTTGTCTTTTTTAATAAGGAAAATTTTTTTCTAACACATATCGCTAATTTTTTTTTAAACTCTGATTACTTCAACTGCTAGGAGAGCAACTGAAAAACAGCCTTCGGCTGTCAGCCCTCAGGGGGTATCGCCTCAGCCAGATCATAGCTCCTTCCCAGGCGATTCCTACCCAGCCTAAATCAGCAACAGTGATCAGTGACTGAAAAAGCCACGCATGCAAAGTTTATTCCATCCTTAGAACTTCCTCTGGAATAACAAAGGTATTTCATCAAGACTGTATAGCAACTCCACTCCCCCAGCTCTGGCTTCCCTCCCTCTTCCTTCTCTCTGAGGTGACAAAACAGGTCTATGCATTGATTGTGGTGTAGATCCCAACAGCCGCTGCTTAAAAACCCTCCTTCGTGGCACTCTGCACCTCCAAGTCCGCTTTCCTCCTAAAGAAGGCCACTGCCAATAGGATTACAGACATCAGTCCTGTTTTTTTGTTAAGGTATATGCAAAACACATTTCAAAAAAATGTTTTCTCTATATTCTGTACACGGCTCTGGTTTTGGTTCCCACCTTTCTACGTCTAACACATACACCTCTGACCTGAAGAATGTTCAGCAGCCCTCCTTATATCTACTTGGTAACACGTTCTAAATAAACATCCTAAAGCTCATAAATTCAGTAGGATGCACTTACCCAATTATACTGAATATTTTTGTTTCAGTGCACAAATATTTATCCCATCTTTTTAAACAGCTGCAGTGCATTTCACGTAGGAATGCATCATTACTTAACACAAGTGATAGATATTTAGGTTGTATTCCATTTTTCCATATAAACAATAGTACAATAAACATTTTTGTACACATGTGTTTACTCAATTTCCCTATTCTTTCTTTTTTAAAAGAAGATTTTATTTACTTATCTTTAGAGAGAGGGGAAAGAAACATTAACTTGCAAAAGAAAACATCAATCGGTTGCCTCTTGCACATCCCCAGCTTAGAACCTGGCCCACAGCCCAGGCATGTGCCGACTGGGAATTGAACCAGCAACCTTTCTGTCTGCAGGCCAGCACTGAATCCACTGAGCCACACCAGCCAGGGCCTCATTATTTCTGCAGGAATATTTTCTTGGACATAGAATTGCTGGTTCAAAGGGAATGTATGTTTCTCATTTTGACCCATGTTGTTACTTTGCCTTTCAAAAAGTTGTAGCAATTCACACTTCAATGTACACTACATGATAATTCTCATAGCTGAATGGCAATGGGCATTACTCACCAATCTGATCATTTAGGAAAAAACTAACTGTAGATTTGATTTGTATTTTTAAAATTATTTATGAGGCTAATTATATTTTCAAATGTGTAATTGTCATTTACGTTATTTTTTCCATTAGCTGTCCATTCATATCTATCTTGTATTCTTCTTGCTAATTTATAAAGACATCCTATATATATATACTGAGGCTATCAATTCTTTGCCCATATGTGGTAAACAGTTTTTACAGCCGATTATTTCTCTTTTGACAGCTATATTACATCTTCCGCTATATAAAGGTTTTAAACTTTTAGGTGGTCAAATCTGTCAATCCTTTTCTTTGAGGTGATGGTTTTTGAGTCATGCTTAAGGCTAGGTTTGAACACTTTAAACCCACAACTAAAGTACACAGCAGCAGTTACTGATAAATCCTTTTACAGAAAAAGAAATCCACGACATAGTTACAACTTATGTATGCTATAAACTGGTATGAAATGCAGTTAAACTCAATGCACACAAACCTATAATTTTTCACAATTATGACCAATGTCTGCTTATCCATGGAAAGCAATGGAATGAAAATTACACACAGGATGAAGAAACATGCCTGCAGATCGGTTTCGGCAGGGCTTTCATTTCCATCCTCCTCTGCTCTGATAGAATCAGAATGACAATCTTCCTCAGCTTCTGCCTGGGGGGAGGGAAAAAAAAACAAAGTAATCAGGACGATGCAAACACTGGCTTCTCTTTGAAATCTACATCTTCTATTCAGCTACTTGCCCAATGAAATGTACGGTTTCTTCTCTCTAGATACCTTCTTCATGGTAAGTTTAATGATTCCAATCAGAAAAACCTGCTACCTTAATTTTTTAATACTGTAGAATAAATAACTTCACTGGGCTCTTGTTTAAAATGTTTTGGTAGGTGGTTAAAAGGACCAAGTTTGCTTTAGAAAAATAACATTGAGTGCGGTATAGAGTTCGGTTTCACAAGTCACTTGAAAGACCATGTATAATCCACATATGGATATCCCTTCTTTTATACACTGGCATGTTATTAATACGTGAATATGACTTTTGTCTGTTTGCTAATATTTTAAATGTACTAGGAAAGCTCGTAAATAAAAAGGCACGCAATAGTGAATGTTTAAGATGCCCTTCTATTTTGTTTTATAAATTAGATGTTTACATAGTAAATTAAGTTGAAATGGAATAAAGCAGGACTGGAGTTACTGTACATGGTTTGGAGCTTAACAGAGGTCTCACATCAGTTTACTTTCATTTTATCCTTTTGTTCTCAATGTTTGCTAAATTAAACTGAACCCTATCTTCCAGTGAAGATGAAATGTTGCGTAGGTTCACTCTGTTAGGTAAGACTTATTAGCAAATGGGACTTGCTCAACACTTAATGTGTTCAGTCTGATAAAGAAATGTGGCAATCAGAGAAGTAACCTTGAAGGTTAGTTAGAAATATAAATAATAAAACCTATTTATTTTATGCATTCCAAAGATGGCAAGTTTCACAACTGCCAATTTTAGTTGTAATTTGTTTCCAGAAAAAAATGTTTGTGTTAACACTTATCTTTGAATACAGCAACCAGATATATACTTGAAGTATATAGTGCAACATAAATAAACCTTGCTTCCTATCTTATCTCTAGCAACCAGACTTCAAGCAGAGGTGCCTTTAAGACTTGAACCAGTTAGTACACAGTGAAGTGTTTGGCACACTGTAAAAGCTAAATCAGCAAAAAAAAAAAAAAAGAGAGAGAGAGAGACAGAGCGAAAGGCCAAAACTCAGACGACTTCCTAGAATACTGGAAAATTTAAGCACTGATGTATAGTCAAATACATTTCATTTTTTGAGTCTGTAAGCTGGGAGCTTTCTGAACTAAGAACATAACTAATAGGAAAATACACAGTAAAGGAATTTGAATTTATAGATCCCATTGAGAAATGTATTTCTCTCTTCTCAAATAAGGATCTGCTTTATTATTGTTAACTCTTAAGTACAGCCAATTAAAGGGAATCTGAGTTCCTTAGTGTATCCTCTTAGTAACAGCTTTTTCTACCTCTTACCTATTGGTCATACTAAACTGACTTCAAGAGCTTCCCCTGCTCTCTCCAGTTCCCTCTTCTAGCATAGGCTTCTAGAATAACTGCTGGAATGATGGCTCCTTCCTCACGTGGCTGCTCTTCCTTCAATATTTAGCCCAGGAATCATCCCAGTAAGAAGCATTTTCTGATCCTCTTAATTCCCTCTTTTGTTTTCCCATTATACTTGTGCTTGTATCATAGCACTTAGACTTGTGTTGAAATTATTTTTGTCTCTTTGCTAGAGTTAGAGCATTGGCAACAAAGATAACACTTCACTCACCTTTGCATACTCAAGCCAAACACATTGCTTCATTCATAGCAGGTCTGTGCAAGCCTCAACTATCTCATCTCTCAAGAACCTGTATTGGATTTGGTGACCTCTGAGGTCCCTTTTCACAAGTGACATTCTAGGACTAAAAGTTTACCACAATCACCTTACGGATTTAGCTATACTGAAGATTTAATATTGTACCAGGATCTAGCACTAGCACTATGCCAGGCTGATAACAGGTGTTCAAAAATGGTTGAATTAATAAGTAAACTCCATGTGGATATATAATGCATAGCTCAAGAATGAGGAAATTGGAAACTATAATACAGATAGCATCTTTCTTCTTCCCTGAGCTCCTGTGTTATAAGAGTCCTAATCCATTATTACTTTGATTTTGATGCTATGACAAAAACAAGAAACTATTTTTACTACATTTTTCAGTTCAAATACCTGTTGAAATAAGCAGGTCCTCAGCTTTGCCCAGAGTTTCACTTTATTTTCCTAATCAAGTTTGACCTAAACCTCACCTTTCCCTTGAACAGCTCATGTCTTACATCATTTTACTCCTGTTTTACAAATGGGATTAATGAAATATAAAAAGTTAAGTGCTTAATCCCGGTCAGAGAACTACTTCTGAAAGTGTAGAGGCAGAGTAAATTACTGTTTTAATTCTCCAGATTAATAAAATAAATTCATTCAGTCTTTCATTTATTCAAAACATGAGTATGAGCCCTGGCTGGTGTAGCTCAGTGGATTGAGCACGGGCCTGTGAACCAGAGTATCTCGGTTAGATTCCCAGTCAGGGCACATGCCTGGGTTGCAGGCAGATTCCCTGCAGGCCAGTTCCCTGCAGGGGATGCACTAGAGGCAACCATACATTGATATTTCTCTCCCTCTCTCTTTCCCTTCCCCTCTAAAGATAAATAAATAAATAAATCTTAAAAAAAAAACCACGAGTATGTACTGTAAGCTAATTAGTTTGGTAACATTTCACCCTTGATTCATGCAACCCAAGAGATTAGTTTCTCAGATGGACAATTTATTCAAAGCCAAAGAAGGCAGCACAGGGCAGAGACTACATATTTCAGCCAAAGTCCTAAGGAATCTGCGTTGTCAATTTCTGGACCTTAGCTCAGTCTCTACATGTGGACCGCACTGATGCTTCTCGGCCCTCACTGCTGGGAAGCAAAACAATCCTTGTGACCCCACGCTGCCAGGGCTGCCTGCCAACATCCTATCCAGGGTACTGGCGCATCACGGGACAGGTGCTTCCTAAACCCAGGCCTCTCCGTGAGCTCAGCCTTCCAGAGGGGGAGCAATCAACAAGTGTCTCCACTTGCCAAGGCTCCTTCCCGATTTCAGATGCCGCCATGGCTCACCTCAATCTAGGTTCACTGCTTCGATAAAATCCCTTGAGAGGAGCCAGATTGGTTCAATGTCTTCTGCTGGCCGAGAAGAGACATTTTTCTCGGCCGTACTGCAAACCAACCACTCTTCACATCGACAAGACAAGCCGGGGAGTGCTCAGGGCTGGAATCCCCGCAACTCCTCCTTAGGCCAGAGGTCCCATAAAGGGTAGGAGCGGCGCAGCTCTTCTCATTCCTCCCAGCTCCTTCCCCACCTCCCTGTTCGGGGATCCTACCCCCGAGGCCTGCCAGCCCCTCCCCTCCTCGTGAATCCCCCTTCCCCCTCCTCAGGTTACCATGCTGGCGGGCCGATCGCCGGTTGAGGGGCTCTCCGCACCCCCTCTGCACCGTCCCCTGAGGAGGTGTGCTCGGTGTCCGGGTGTCTACTCCTGCCTGTCTGCTGCAGCGGGGCTTAGCAGAGTTCTCGGTCGGAGAAGCGGACCAGGCAGCGGCAGTAACTCCGGGCCCGGCGTACGGCAGCCATCTTCACGGGATAGGGGGCCAGATCGGGGCACGCTGGAGCTCCGGCTGGCGAGACCCAGAGCGGAGGAACACCCGTTGCCAGCGGAGGCCAAAGACGATGCGAGAACTAAGCGCTAAGGGACAGACCCGCCGCTGCAGAGCTAACCCCTCTGCTGCGGAAACCTCCGCCAGCGCACCACCGAACATGCGCAGTGCAAAGCACGGCAGGCTGGGTGCACAGAACGACAGGCTCCCCAGCAGGCGCGTGCAGCCTAGTAGACGACTGGGGGCGGGGACCAACTGTGTACGTGAGGCCAAACCGGGCGTGAGGTCACCCGTTTTCGGAATCACCGATTCAACCTACTTAGTCGGCTCAGTGAACACATGGGCAAAGTCGAAAGACCATTATCTCAAAAATGTAATTCGATATAAGCGTTGGACCGTGTGGTAAGAAGCCCTAATGAGCATCAAAAGTAGGCACTCGATGGTGACTACACGGGCCATGGAGACTCTAGTTGGAGCCGCATGCCAGGAATGCAAGGAAACTGAAACCACTACATCGTGGGCTGTTTTCATGATTAAATTTATTATTATTTTAATTGATTGATTTGAGAGAGAAACATCAATTTGCTGTTTCACTTATTTATGCATTATTTGGTTTCTTCTCTGTGCCCTGACAGATCAACCTGCAATCTTGGCATAGCGGAAGGGTGCTCTGTCCAACTGAATCATCCCACCAGGGCCAGAACTAAACATTTTTAAGACCAGGGTTTAGAGGTTGAGGAAAAGACGCGTTTTGAAGGGTAGCAAGAGGAAAGTAAAGTCGGCCACCGCAAGGAAGACCTCACTACAGATCCCATCATGCAACACGAGAACGCCTTGAAACCTGAGTCCTGCCCGGGCTGCGCCCCCGATACACTCTGGGATGTGTAGTCTGCTAATTCTCGCAGAGCGCATAACTTACACAAGGTACCTGCTCCACCTGCTAAAGACGGAACACCGTATTTCACTCCGACAGGTACTCTTATTTATCAGGCAATATATTATTTTCACACATTTTGCATTGTTTTAAATACGGAATTGTTGCATGCTCTAAGAAAACCTACAGTCTTTAATAGCCTCTTACCTTAATTCAGCAAACATTTAAGGAGGTACATAGTTATCAGGTTTCTAAGACTACTCTCAAGGAGTTCCCAGAGTTTGAATCTCTTATCCACTATTTATCCTGGAGATGTTAGAGTCTTAGGCAGAAATATAGAGGCAAAAAAGGGGAGGTGGGGGGAGAATGGTGAGCTACAATATGAAAGCCCAACTGCAGTCATACTATTGGGACCCTGCCTTCAGACTGGTATTTTTAGTTACACCTTTAATCAGCTACGTATAAAAGTTATCTACATGTTTAATGGAAGCAAAAAAAAAAATTAATAGTTTTTAATTTCTAAAAGAGACTCTAGGGCTTAGGTCTTTTAAGGATGATTTTCCTCCCAATGATCTCTTTAAAAGGAGTTTGAAATTCAAATCTGGGGGAAAGATTAGATGTAAAAGTTGGAAGAAAATTATATGGGACTCATGAATACAAATGATCAATTTTGCAAATAAAGAATGAAGTATTGGGAGTTCCAGTCTTACCTCTTTGTAAAACCACATCAAAATCACAAATAAATATAGAAAAACTATCAGTCAGAACTGTCAAAAATCAAGTTGAATGGAGGTTTGACAACTACGGAATTAAAGAAACCACACCCATCAACAGGCAGGAGGGGTGCAGATGCAGCACAGGCTGGTCTCTCTCTCACCAATGTGTGATGGATAAAAATTTGGGAGGGATATCTCAGGAGTGAGGGGTCCCAGCCCCACACCAGGGCCCCCAGCCCAGGGTTCCAGTGCCAGGAAGATATGTCCCCACAACTTCTGGTTATAAAAGCCAGTAGGGATCACGCCTATTGCAGAAACTGCTGGTACCCCAAGAAGTTCCTCTTAAAGAACCCACACACAGACTCACCTACTCCCTTATTCCCTGTGAGCTCCAGCAGTGGAGTAGCAGCTTGAAAGGCACCAGTGTTATACAGGGAAAAACTGAAGTGTCTGGCATCAAGTCAAGCAGAGGCCATTGTCCCTTTTCTAAACCCTCCCCCCACCAGGCCAGTCAGCTGGGGTTATATCTGAGATTCCATCAGTCTGCTGACACTATTTGACCTGCCTTGGAGATCCACAGAAACGCCACCCTACCCAATTAATCAGGCCACCCAAGGTGCTTTTCCATATGAATGGTTGGTCTTGGCTCATACTTTACAACTTCCTAAATCCTATCAAACAAGCAACAGTTGCCCTCAGTGAGCTCCAGGCCAGGCAGTAGCAGCAGTCAGCTGAGATGCAGTTTGCCTTCCCCTAGGAATTTCAAAGCCCAGCACAAGTAGCAGCCATTTCAGACTGCTTTACAGCTCAGGCAGGGTGGCCTGGGCAAAACATAGGTGGGGGCTGATCTTGGCCTGCACCCGACAAACCCCAGGGCCTGCACATCCAGTGGACAGCTGCAGATCACATCAGAGCACCACCACCCTGCCCCTACACAGCTGATCCTCCACAAAGGGCAGAGATTGATGGTAAGTAGCCAAAGCCGATATTTGCAGCTGACTGGCCTGGGTAAATCCTTCCCATTGATCTGCCAACAGAAACTAAGACTGAACTATAACAGGAGGGTGTACTCGGCCCACACAAAGGGTGCACCTTGAGTACCCAGCTCGGGTGACGAGAGGCTGTGCTACTGGACCCTACAGGACACCTACTACATTAAGCCACACTACCAAGACAAAGCAGCTCTACCTAATACATAGAAACAAACACAGGGAGGCTGCCAAATAGAGAAGATAAAGAAATATGGCCCAAATGAAAGAGCAGAACAGAACCCCATAAAAAGAATAAACGAAATGCAGATAGCCAACCTGTCAGATGCAGAGTTCAAACACTGGTGATCAGGATGCTCAGAGGAATGACTGTGTATAGCCATGAAATAAAGAAGTGAAGGTTTTACAAAGTGAAATTATTTATATATATATATATTATATACACACACATATATATAACCAACAGTGAAGGGAATAAAGCTAGGATTCAAATCAACAATTTGGAACAAAAGGAAGAGATAAACATTCACCCATAACAGAAAAAACAAGAATTTTTTAAAATGAGGAGAGGCTTAGGAACCTCTAGGACAACTTTAAATGTACCAACATCCAAATCATAGGGGTGGCAGAAGGAGAAGAGGAGGAGCAAGAAATTGAAAAGTTACTTGAAAAAAAATGAAGGAAAGCTTCCCCAGTCTGGTGAAGGATATAGACATATAAGGCCAGGAAGCAGACGGTCCCAAACAAGTTGAACCGAAAGAGGACCAACCACACTGAAACACACCATAATTAAAATACCAAAGGCTAAAGATAAAGAGAATCTTAAAAACAGCAAGAGGAAACCAGAGAGTTACTTTCAAAGGAGTTCCGATAAGACTATCAGATGACATCTCAAAAGAAACCTTACAGGAAAGAAGTGTTCAAAGTGATGAAAAGCAGGGACCTACATCCAAGATTACTCTATCCAGCAAAGCTATCATTTAGAATGGAAGGGCAGATAAAGTGCTTCCCAGACTAGGTAAAGCTAAAGGAATTCATCACCACCAAGCGATTATTACATGAAATGTTAAGAAAGTGATTTAAGGAAAAGAAAGTCAAAACTATGAACATTAAAATGACAACAAACTCACAAGTATCAACAAATGATTCTAAAAAATAAAAGCAAAAACAAACTAAGCAAATAACCAGAACAGGAGCAGAATCATAGGTTATCACTGGGAGGGGGATGGGGGAGAATGGGGGAAATGGTGCAGGGATCAAGAAGCATAATTGGTAGGAACAAAATAAGACAGGGGAGGTAGGACCCTCGTTAAGGTACACCAAGATAGGCCCTCTGTGTTAGGTAGACTTGCTTGGACAGCTGAATCTGACCAGAACTGATAATTTTAGATATTTAAAATCATTTTTCATGGGAATAGCATAAAATTTGTTAGGCTCCTTATTTCCCTATCATTTCACTGGTAATATTTTTAAATTTTTTCATTTACCACACAGTTTGTATGTTGTACAGGTAAGCACAAAGGTAGATAAATGTATATTTGCCCAGTGTCCCATAACCCTTTCCAATTTAGGACAGGAAGTCTAAGAAAGCTTGACTTTCTTTTGTCTTGTAGGTTTTTTCAACAGGAGCAGGAGGAGAGAGGGATTCAGGCCTCTTTTACAGACTCTTTGGGAAAAAACGATCTGTCTTCAGTTCCTAGACTTCAAAAGTCAAAACAGAGACAGAAACTGACACCATAATGAGCTGGGGAATTTAAAAACAGAGAAAGATGTACAGTATGTACAAAGTCACTGCTTCAGGAATTACAATTGTGTTGCTTAGGGCAATGTAGTTCCCCTGACTGGCGCCAGAAATCCGGGGATAGGGCCCAGCGAGGGTTTAACAAACCCTCCAGGTGATTCCGATGCCTCCAAATAGTTTCAGAACAATGGGCTTGGGGCAATTATGTAAATTTAAATTGAGGACCTCAAAGCATTTTTTTCCTAGCGCTTCAGAGCCAGTCCTTATACGTGGATGACTTAAAGTAATGTTTACAATACAGGTGAATGTGTTTTAAAAATTTCATATTTACAACTGTTGTGTAGAGCATACCTAGTTTGTTTCCCACCTAGGTAACAATCCAGTCTTTGAAACTAAAGTTGCTAATATAAAACCTCTAAAGTTCAAAGAATGGTAACGGGCAATCAGTTTCGTCTTTATTTTAAACATCTTTTATTGTGGTAAAATATATATAACACAATTTTCCATCTTAACCATTTTGAGTGTACACTTAAGTGGCACTGATTTCTTTCACAATATCTTGCAACCTCAGCAACGGGGGGGGGGGGGGGGGGGGTTGTGTTGTTTTTTAACCATAAAAAATGTTTTCACCGTGATCACTTCTAATGCAATGTTCTGAGAATGTGCATCTACCGCCACCATTTCTACATCTAGATACCTGGTGCAGCGAGCGGCAATAAGGCGTGCGTAGGAAGCCGAGGTCGCATTTGTGGTCTAGTGATGGCAGGGACCCCTGGGCTGCGTCCGGCTCCTAGCTTAGACCGGAGCGGAGCTGCTCCTCGCTCCGGGGCAGCCCGTGCGCGGTGCAAGGACTCGCAGCGCCACCGAGGGGAGCTGCAGGGTAACTTTTCCCA